AGCAGGTCAATATGTAAAATATGAACGAATGAGCAAAACATTGAGAAATTTTATTCAAAACTACTAATTCCGTAACGTTTCCCAGGAACTCAGTGATAAATATAAGAGGAAATCCATCCTCCCCCGTCGTGTTCAGCAGGCCTGCTGATTATGATTATGAGTCTTCGGCCTCGGGCACCTAACATTAATAATCAGTTGAAATTATAGGCAAAGTGTATTAATATATATTTCTTCAGCTATGGATCGGTAGCCAGGTGCTTTTGATCGGTGACCTGTCTCATTTCGTGATTTTCTCAACTATCAGCAACACATAAAATCATTTTTAACCAATTAACATTTTTCCATCACCGATGACCGATACACAGAAAACCAAAAATAAAGTAAGGCATGACAACCAATCAAAATAGTGAGTAACTTGTATGAGCGTTTGGGGACACAAATTGCCCATGTTTTCAACTGATTATGAGTTTCACGTGACCGGTTATTGGTTTGCGGCCTGAGGCCGAAAACTCATAATCTTAGGCTGTCCACTGAACACGAGCAAGTGCCCAAACTGAAACAATGACGTCACATTTACATCATCAAATCAGCTACCAGCCAAAGTGATTCTACGTTTTTAGTCACGAATTGCTTGATTTTAGAACTGAAACGTTTTTGTGAAAACACAATTTTATTTTGAAAATTTAAATAAAAAAAGATCCGTGAAAATGAAAATAAAACTTACTTTTTGATTACAGTGTATGTATATATTTATTATTTTATTTTTGTAGATCACCAGAATGGAGATGAAGCGTGAAAGCACATTCCAGTCAAAAAGAGATAAATGCTAAAGTATAGGCAAATCAAGACTTCCCAACCTCATTACTGACTTGAAATGATGTTTTTGATTACATTGATGTTGCCATGTGTATTTATTTAACTGTTATTTGAAATCCGCATATTTATATATCTATTTTACATAATAAACCGCTATAATAAATATTATAAATATGTGTTTGTAATCACAATGATATATAACTGCTAGCAGATCTTAAAAAAGATAGGAATGCTTGATAGAGTTTCATAAATGTCTCAAAATTTTCCAAAATGTCTAAAACTTTTCTGGAACATGAGACATATTGTCTCATTAAAAATCCTTTCCCTGTTAAGTATACGGCTGCTTTGACATTATTACTACAAGATACTAAATACTTACAGGAATATGTCTATTTTTTAAGATGACGACCTGGCGACCGTTTTATTTTTTCGACGGCGAATTTTGTATTTCGTCGACATTTACAAGTGCAATGACGCATTTAAAACTTCATTGATGTCTGGTAAGTTTTATAAATTTCGCAAACATTAGTGGTACATCAATTAAAACCAAAACGATAAAATTTGAATCAAATAATTTTTATGAGGTAACTAACTCCGGAGAATAATTCATGAAATAAGTTACCTCAATTATAATCAATATTCAGCATGATATACCAAGTTTAAATATTTGTCACATTTGTATGTCAGTTTTGTGTTAGTTCTTAGTCAGAAAAGATTGTTTGACTAATTAGAAAATTTGCTTTTAACAGAAAACAAAAAACAAAACCAAACAAAAAACTAACATTACTAACACCTTTACATCAGATTTTGACTTTGAAACTGATTATTCTAGCTTACAATGTAAAATTATTTTATTTTATTTTTGCCAAAAAATATGTTCGCGTTATCATTCTTCTTTTTTTCATGTTTTCAGTAATTTGCAGATTTGTAGTAATTTGCATAATCGCAATAAACAACTTATACACAGATCATATGCAATTATATATATAAATAGCAAAATCATCAAAAGGCGATTCTTTGCTGCTAGCTGACTTTACTTAAATTTCTTTAATCAATATTTGAGTTGAATAAAATTACACGGAGAAAACCTCCAAAATTTAATTCCGAAGAGTGTTGATAAACATTCAACTATGACCTGTAAACTTCTGTCGCGAGAATTTATTATGTGAGGAAATAATGTTACTTAAATCACTGACTAATTATTTCAATTCGCAGGCGGTTAATAGCAAAAGGCGTCTTGACAGTCGTGTGGCGCTTATGATGGGCTTAAAATGATCGATGGCAATCCTACTTTTATTCGGTTCATCGTTAAGCCGAAATTAGACAACCTCCGTCTCAACGTTATATGGCATGAGTAGTTTGGCAAATGTTTCATTTATAGAAACAATAATGTAACAAAAATATATCGACGAACCACAGAAGTCGGTTTAAATACGCTAGCCAGGTCATTATTCTCACGTATTATCTTAAATTAAAAAAAGTTTTACTTGAAATATTCTTTTCAACGTTTAAAATGTGATGTTGTCTCAGCAATCGTGTGCGCTTATCCAGTTGTTTTTTTTTTCAATTCGATTCGCTATAAAAATGTTGTTACATTTATTTATCACGGTACTTGTTATGGGCATACATGTTTAATTGAATTCTACTTTGCTACTGCACAATTTCTGCGTTTTTTTCGAATTTCTGTTGGAATGGACTTAAAATGCGTCCACATATCTCTGCAGATGTGAAAACAATGTACATGAAAAAATGTGATTTTACCCTCTTTCTCTGTACATACGTTGTCACACCTAATTGTGTAGTTTTGAACTTATCGCAATAGTGTCTTCGATCAAGAATTTGTTTGTCTTGATGTTTACGTCTGTTTATTTTTGAAAGCTTTTTAATGAGACAAATGGGTTACATTAATGCAGGATTTTGGTCTTTGGTGAATGGCATAGAATGGAATAAGTTCGGAAATCATCTCTGTCGCATGCGCTATATGTTAAAAATCTGGAAATAAAGTGATCCCTCGGGAGCATTAATCACAACAATATTACATAAGAATTGCAGACTCGGTATGATTGAGTCTGTACATGAAGGATAATTAATAAGTGCAAAATAAGTTTGTAAAAACTATATCCATTGTAAATCCAAAAGAACCATCTAATTACAGGCCCATTACATTACTTAGTTGTTTTGGAAAACAAATACTATTCGTAATACAAATCAGGCTGACTTTCGAAAAGGTTTTTTGTCAGAATCATATTTTTTCTCTTTATTCAATAATCAACATTCTAAAACATAAGAAGATAATCTATTTTTTGCATTTATATATATATATATATATGTCTGTGGCATTTTCCTTAGTAGTGATTTGTCCTCCTTTTTTGCATGCATGAATGTAGTCCGTCAAGATGAAAATTTGACGCCTCTTTTTGTCGCTCTTTTTCTCCAGTATTGAAGTTACAGGTGGCATCAGTGTAATCATGATGACGATAAAAATAAATTTGATTGGCTTAAACTTTGAGTCTTTTTATATGCTGATTACACCGTCATCATTTCAGATGACCTAACGGATTTCGAAACATACCAAAATGCTTTGTATTCATATTGTAGAGAATAAGATCTTACAGTGAACTTAAGAAAACAAAAGTTACTGGGTTTAATATGTCAGTTCGTAACTACGAATTCAAACTTGGTGATAACATTTCTGATTTTGCTGATAAATATCATTATCTAGGCGTTAAATTGTTAAGGTCCAGATCATTTCTTAATGCCCACAGGCACGTTGTTGAGCAGGCAAAAAAGCAATGTTTTTACTTTTCTCTAAAATTAGATATGCTGACTTAACATACAATTATTCGACACAATTTCTTTACCGATACTAATATATGACTCAGAAATGTTTGGATTCGAAAACTTAGAAATGATAGAATCAGTTCGTTACGATCTTTTGCGCAAATAATTAAACGCATGTAGAAGAATACCTTTTTATATATTAATGTACATATTAGTGCCTACGTTGCTTTACTACTCATCTGGGAAATGTAAGTAAATTATTCAGACATATCTATGTGACTTTTAAATTTTCTGTTCTGCATCACATTCAAATCGGATAAAGAATAAAGTCAGGTAAACTTAACACTAAAACATGTCCGTGAACATAACCATCATATGTTCTGACCTTTCAGTATGATAATGTATTTCGCACTATTTCAAGCTAGTAAGTAGACCTCCTTTTTCTTGCTAATAGATACATTTGCGTTTTTTTTAAAAGCTATTTAATATTATTAATTAATTAATTAACTCTATTCTTTAAGCTTCAACTTACTCCGAATTATTTATGAACGCCTTCTTCATCTACATTTTGATTAAGATCGATGATCTTTTGCCTTTAAGTTACGAAGGTTGGAAATGCTCGAGAAAATACTACATCCGTTCTTTAGCAAGCAAGCAGGCAAATTAGTATTTCAGATAGACGTCAAATACCAATTATGTTAACATATTCCAACAGTGAAAGTTTACAAAGTATGCCATCGTTTTTGAAGTCAATCAGAAAGCTTTGCTTAGGCAAGCGTCACCAGGATAAAATTAGACCCGACCCCTTAAATAGTCTAGAAAATAGTCCTTTATATTATTTGGGACGTCGTTGTCTGGCGGAGGGATTAAATATATATTACGGCATGACTTTCAAACCTAGATCAATGGCAGCTTGAAAGATGCCGCACTGTATAATCACTGAATTAAGTTTGTTGTACTATATTTCAGGCCTCATTTTACTTTACTAATGTTTGTGTTTAAGAGTTGAGACAGTATGTTTCTCAACAGGGATTATAGACTCCAAAATGCAGTCCAAGTTTTTAACGATTTTCTGAAGAATTAAGAGGGCGAAATTAGAATGGCTCGACGGATTTACATTTGTTGTATGTTTAACTTTTGTAAACATGTATTGGTATTCATCTCACATGTACTATTGATTATATATACTCATCTCTTGAACGGGAATTTTCCCGCGGATTATATTCATAGTTATAGTCACACTTAATCTTGTTATTGAATATGTTTTGTTGTTTCTTAGAATGAATGTGCCTATGGAATAAGCATTCATGAAGTTTTATATTTCTTTAACTTTTGAGAATACTCAAAAGAAATATGAACTTTATTTTCGAAAACAAGAAGAAAACTTACTTTTATAACATGTGCTCCCGCAACATATACCATCTTGAAAAGTTTACTGTCATTGAAATCTTCAAAAATTCCTAGGTCCCGTGCACCTTGCCATTCTGCTGCACTGTTATGTTCGTCTAGAATTGCTTTGTTACCAAAAATACTGTAAAATAAACAATAGCACTGTAGTTTATTTAAAGTCGATTTAGTTGACCAAAAACAGTTGAAAAGATTAATTCAACGTATTCATTTCATTCACTATAAGATAACGGGTTTAAAATAAATATAATTAATTTATTATTTTCAGTTAGGAAGCAATAACATTACGAATTGCGCTAATAAAAACTATTATTAAGTTTTGTATTTTATTTATGGTAAACAATTGTATTTCAATATTTATAATATCTCATGTTGCAAGTCATCGGTTACATTGATTGAATTAAATGTATTTTAGACGATTTCTGAAGTATTAAACAGATAGTTTTTTCATTTGATTAAAATATGGAATATATTTTCACGAAATATGATACAACTCCATATAATTCACGAAATTTCAGCAGAGATACAATCCAACGTGAATGATTTATCGGAGCACAGAGACATTTGCTGTCTTATTTTGTTTTATTTTGATTGGCTTTATACGTCGCACCGATACAGAATAGGTCATATGGCGACTTTCCAACTTTACTGGTATTTAAGGCACGAACGGGCACTTTAGAAGAATCACCAACGTTCTGTAAGGAGAAGGCCTTTATAAGCTCAGCTTTCGGACCCAATCCCTTTTCAACATATCATGTTTGTATTGTGTACATTATTGTCTGTATATATATTGTGAATTTGTTCGAAATAAACTATGTTTAAACTAACTAACGTTCTGTAAGCGAGTTAGATAGCTCCCTCATATGACATAATCCAAAGTCCCTGTCGTTATTCGAACCCATAGTGTTGAGGGGCAAGTGGTTTGATGTCGACGATCTTAACCACACAGCCACGGACGCTCCCTTGCTATCTAACTTTATAATGTAACATTCAACATTTAAATATGACTTTATCAAATTGACAAAGAGGACACTCTTCGCAATGCTACACAAAGGAAAATTGATACATATTATACAAGTATAAATGAATAGAAGCTTTCATTGCTTTGCATGTAAGATATAAGGACTTTTCAATTGTGAACATCAGTCAGTTGTTTTATTTCCTTAAAAGCCACGTTACATACGATAATAGGCAATTCAATGAAATACATTTTAATATCACAGTCAAACAAACAGAACTCCTCTGCAAACTATATTACAAATACGGTTTTTTTTACTTAAATACATTTTTCTTTGTAATTCTAGAAAATATTCGTTCCATACATAGAACCACTAAAATTAAGATGAAAACCCGGCAAAGAAAGCATTCTACATGTTCTAAGTTGTTAGATTTGTATTTGTCCTACCTAAATTGTTTTGATATCAAACTTTTATTATTTCTCCCAAAACTTTTCAGAGACATGTTGCTTTTGTCTTCGCCGTCTGTCCGTACATGCCAACATTTGGTGTTTATGTGCTCTTTCTTTGATCTCTTTGTGGCATTTTTTCACATAACCCAATAATATAAACACATAAACCAGTCGGTTTATAACACATAAACCAGTCGGTTTATGGGCTTTCTTTTTAACTAAGATAATAGACGGAATGAAGCTCATAGACCATCGGATGTTTGTCCGTCCGTCCGGCTGTCTGTCACTCCGGATTCAGTTTGTCCAGCTTTCACAGGTAAAACTGCTGGTAGGATTTCAATGAAACTTCACAGGAGTGATCCCTAGTTGTGCATATCGCGAACACGTTCCGCTTGGCTGCTCAAAATGGCCACCAGAGCTATAAATCGAAAATTCTTGCCCGGCTTTCAAAAGTCAAACTGCTGGTGGGATTTCAATGAAACTTCACAAAAGTGATCAGTACTATCCTAAGTTGTGCATTTTGCCCGCACGATCTGCTTCACTGCACAATATGGCCGATATAGCTATAAATAGAAAAATCTTGTCTTGCTTTCACAGGTATAACTGTTAGTGGGATTTCAATGAAACTTCACAGAAGTAATCAGTATCATCCCTAGTTTTGCATATCGCCGGCATGTTCCACTTTGCTGCACAAAATGGCCGTCAGAGCTTAAAAAAGAAGACAAATCTTGTCCGGCTTTCAAAGGTGAAACTGTTGGTGGGTTTTTGACCAGAATTCACAGGAGTCATCAGTACCATACCTTGTTTAGGGAGGCATATGTTTTTGTGACAAAAACCTCATGTAGTTTGAAATGTTGTGATAATAACAACTATTCAAAGTTAATAAACAACATAATTTCATTGTGTTGAACTTACTGTACTTGGAATCATTATAAGTACCATCCCACATACTAGCTAGTATGCAACTTAACTTTGTCAATATGAACCATTTTGCTGTATTGAAAATAAAGTTACAGACAATGAGCAAACTTACTTGAAATGCATCAAATCCCTTGAAAGTTCGTCTCGGAGGCCGAAATATCTACATAGGAAGAAAATCGCAAATTCTTATAATTTGTAGCAAAAAAGGACATTACGTGCTAAGTAAACAATTTCAATGTACATCTTTTACAAAATGCTTCAAAATATTTGTTTATATTATAAAGTTAACTTGTCATGTAAGTCATGAACAAAAAGTGAATGGACATTGAGTTGCGCCATGGCTGAGTAGTTGGACTACGCGTCGGACTAGTAATATGAGGATTGCTGCCCGCATGGGTTCAAAGCCCGTCGGGGGCAAGCTCTTGCTTCCGTGAGGAGCTTAGATATGAATGGCTGGTTTCAGAAACAGATTCAAAAATAGTGTTTAAATAAGCTTAACGTTTCCAACACAATCGAAGTAAAATAAATAGTAAAAAACTAAAGGAAATCATTTTATGTATACATTAAAGCTACATTAAATAAATTACATGAAAACAGAAATAGCGACATTTCATTAACTAATTGGGTTTCATATCGACTCCAGATCTTACTTTGGTGTAGAGACAACCAAAATGAGTTTTATAAGCATAAAAAGGGTGCAACCTCATTGTGGCGAAATTGGAAGTACAATTTTAGTTTGCATGAGAAACTCCACCTTCGGATCATCTGTACATCAATATCAAATCAACAAACATGACTATAAGCAGCAGTCCTAATTTAATGGTAATTTTCCGCATTCTAACGGATGTTTTCATATAAATTTAATCACTTTTATGAGATGATTACTTTTTTCTGAACCCCAGGCCTAGTGCACCGTGAAGCTATAACGGTTAAAGTGTGTTTCCACAAGAAAATTTCATATTTGTTGTGTTCCGGAAAGCAGCTATAACACTGTGACGTAGCGCATACACAGGCTGATTATAATCTTCATTTGCATGTTAAAATTCGTATACGATCTTTTGTGTTACCGTGGAGTTTTCCGTTTAAAATCCTTATTTATAAATAATATTTGATGAGATTTACAACATTATTGTTAAAAAGATTAATGAAACTGTAGAATGCTTGGTTTTTAGGCCGACGGCAAAATAATTTTACATATTTATTTAATGTAGCTTTAATAAAACAACAAAGATATCTCGGAGAATAGACCAGTGAGTATTTTGTTTGTTTTCTTTGTAATGGGCCTTAAAAACCCGTCTCGTACTATGAATACAGGAAAAGGACAGTAATTAAATCCTTTCCATATCTGATATGTGAAATAATTCATTACTTTAACAATAAAAAGATCGTCATATTTTGACGCATTCGTGTAATTGATTTACATACATGATTGTTTGGTGGGGTGGCGCTATTACAGTGACTTCTAATTGTGTTCCACTCTGGAATATTCCAGGCAATGGCCATCTAACACTGTTATATTCCAGCTGAAAAAAATATTAAAAAGTATACAAGTCATGTTATAAAACAGTTCAAGATACTCAAGTTTAGCAGAAAGAAATCGATCGACAATTGTCTTTATATCTTTTTATTTTTATCTTTAAAATACATGTATGTGGCATATATTCAAAGAAAGTTACCGGTGGTCGATATATTTGATCGCACTCTCTAGTATATATGCATAAGCATAGGATTCATCCATGATTTCTTCATGGGTCGCTGAGTCACGTGACAAACCTTCACATACACCTGTCTCATTTTTCACTCGAACACCTACGTAATCGGTCTAAAATAAATTCAGAAAAAAAGTAATGTCCCTTGAAATGTGACTATGTATGATCAGTGTAAGTGACCTTATTTTATAACATTTACCAAGAGTTCTCGGTAGGACAGCAACGCTCGACTATTCTTAGTGCTTGATAGTAAAAAAGCCTTGATAATGTAAAATTTTCAAAGTTAACAAAAGGGCAAATTATTTCTTTAAATCCATGTTACAGTTCAAATAGGCATTGAAGAGAGTCCCATTATGCTCTAAAAAGAAGAGTATAAAATTTCAACTTGTTTCAAAGCCAGATGTCAATAGGACATGAAAATATCTGAGGTGGTATGCAAACTTAAATGTAAATTCTAAGTGGAAAAAGGGGCATTATTCTGCCAAAATGCTTAATACAGTTACCTCCTCCTGTCTACAGGTTGGGAACATGATGGCAAACAAGTATGCAAAGTTTCAAAGTCATATCTCAATGGACTTTGAAAATATTTAAGGTATAACAAAAACTTTAACGTAAATTCTAAGTCGAAAAAGGGGCATAATTCTGTCAAAATGCTTGATACAGTTCTACAGGTTGGGGTCATGATGGCAAACAAGTTTGCAAAGATTCAAAGCTAAGTCGAAAAAGGGGCATTATTCTGTCAAAATGCTTGATACAGTTACCTCCTCCTGTCTACAGGTTGGGGTCATGATGGTAAACGAATGTGCTAAGTTTCAAAGCCATATGTCATTGGACTTTAAAAATATTTGAGGATTTACAAAACTTTAACATAAATTCTAAGTCGAAAAAGGGGCATATTTCTGTCAAAATGCTTGATACAGTTATTTTCTCCTGCTTATTGGTTGGGGTCATGATGGTGAACAAGTGTGCAAAGATTCAAAGCAATATGTCAATGGACTTTGAAAATAATTGAGGTATTACAAAAACTTTAACATAAATTCTAAGTCGAAAAAGGGGCATAATTCTGTCAAAATGCTTGATACAGTTATCTCCTCCTGTCTACAGGTTTGGGTTATGATAGTGAACAAGTGTGCAAAGCTTCAAAGCCATATGTCTATGGACCTTGAAAATATTTGAGGTATAACAAAAACTTTAACATTAATTCTCGAAAGTCGAAAAAGAGGCATACTTCTGTTTAAATGCTTGATACACTTATCTCCTCCTGTCTACAGGTTGATGTGATGATGGTAAACAAATATGCAAAGTTTCAAAGCCATGTGTCAATGGACTTTGAAAATATTTGAGGTATAACAAAAACTGTAACATAAATTCTAAGTCGTAAAAGAGGCATACCTCTGTTTAAATGCTTGATACACTTGTCTCCTCCTGTCTACAGGTTGATGTGATGATGGTAAACAAATGTGCAAAGTTTCAAAGCCATGTGTCAATGGACTTTGAAAATATTTGAGGTATAACAAAAACTTTAACATAAATTCTAAGTCGAAAAATGGGCATAATTCTGTCAAAATGCTTGATACAGTTACCTTTTCCTGTCTACAGGTTAGGATCATGATGGCAAACAAGTGTGCAAAGTTTCAAAGTCATATGTCAATGCTTTTTGAAAATATTTGAAGTATTACAAAAACTTTAACATAAATTCTAAGTCGAAAAAGGGGCATAATTCTGTCAAAATGTTTGATACAGTTATCTCCTCCTGTTTACAGGTTGGGGTTATGATGGTAAACTAGTGTGCTAAGTTTCAAAGCCATATGTCAATGGACTTTGAAAATATTTAAGGTATTACAAAAACTTTAACATAAATTCTAAGTCGAAAAAGGGGCATAATTCTGTCAAAATGCTTGATACAGTTACCTCCTCCTGTCTACAGGTTGGGGTCATGATGGCAAACAAGTTTTCAAAGATTCAAAGTCATATGTCAATGGACTTTAAAAATATTTGAGGTATTACAAAAACTTTAACATAAATTCTTAGTCGAAAAAGGGGCATAATTCTGTCAAAAAGCTTGATACAGTTACGTCTTCCTGTCTCCAGGTTGGGGTCATGATGGTAAACAAGTGTACAAAGTTTCAAAGCAATATAACAATGCACTTTGAAAATATTTGAGGTATTACAAAAACTTTAACATAAATTCTAAGTCGAAAAAGAGGCATAATTCTGTTTAAATGCTTGATACAGTTACCTTTTCCTGTCTACAGGTTGATGTGATGATGGTAAACAAATATGCAAAGTTTCAAAGCCATGTGTCAATGGACTTTGAAAATATTTGAGGTATTACAAAAACTTTAACATAAATTCTAAGTCGAAAAAGGGGCATAATTCTGTCAAAATGCTTGATACAGTTACCTCCTCCTGTCTACAGGTTGGGGTCATGTTGGTGAACAAATGTGCAAAGTTTCAAAGCTATATGTCAATGGACTTTGAAAATATTTGAGGTATCACAAAAACTTTAACATAAATTCTAAGTCGAAAAAGGGGCATAATTCTGTCAAAATGTTTGATACAGTTATCTCCTCCTGTTTACAGGTTGGGGTCATGATGGTTAACTAGTGTGTTAAGTTTCAAAGCCATATGTCAATGGACTTTGAAAATATTTGAAGTATAACAACACTTTTAACATAAATTCTAAGTCGAAAAAGGGGCATAATTCTGTCAAAATGCTTGATACAGTTATCTCCTCCTGTCTACAGGTTAGGGTCATGATGGTGAACAAGTGTGCAAAGATCCATAGCCATATGTCAATTGACTTTGAAAATATTTGAGGTATTACAAAAACTTTAACGTAAATCCTTAGTCGAAAAAGGGGCATAATTCTGTCAAAATGCTTGATACAGTTACCTCCTCCTGTCGACAGGTTGGGGTCATGATGGCAAACAAGTTTTCAAAGATTCAAAGTCATATGTCAATGGACTTTGAAAATATTTGAGGTATTACAAAAACTTTAACATAAATTCTTAGTCGAAAAAGGGGCATAATTCTGTCAAAATGCTTGATACAGTTACGTCTTCCTGTCTACAGGTTGGGGTCATGATGGTAAACAAGTGTACAAAGTTTCAAAGTCATATGTCAATGGACTTTGAAAATATTTGAAGTATTAAAAAAACTTTAACATAAATTCTAAGTCGAAAACGGGGCATAATTCTGTCAAAATGCTTGATACAGTTATCTCCTCCTGTCTACAGGTTTGGGTTATGATAGTGTACAAGTGTGCAAAGTTTCAAAGCCATATGTCAATGGACCTTGAAAATATTTGAGGTATAACAAAAACTGTAACATAAATTCTAAGTCGTAAAAGAGGCATACCTCTGTTTAAATGCTTGATACACTTGTCTCCTCCTGTCTACAGGTTGATGTGATGATGGTAAACAAATGTGCAAAGTTTCAAAGCCATGTGTCAATGGACTTTGAAAATATTTGAGGTATAACAAAAACTTTAACATAAATTCTAAGTCGAAAAAGGGGCATAATTCTGTCAAAATGCTTGATACAGTTACCTTTTCCTGTCTACAGGTTAGGATCATGATGGCAAACAAGTGTGCAAAGTTTCAAAGCCATATGTCAATGCTTTTTGAAAATATTTGAAGTATTACAAAAACTTTAACATAAATTCTAAGTCGAAAAAGGGGCATAATTCTGTCAAAATGTTTGATACAGTTATCTCCTCCTGTTTACAGGTTGGGGTTATGATGGTAAACTAGTGTGCTAAGTTTCAAAGCCATATGTCAATGGACTTTGAAAATATTTAAGGTATTACAAAGACTTTAACATAAATTCTAAGTCGAAAAAGGGGCAAAATTCTGTCAAAATGCTTGATACAGTTACCTCCTCCTGTCTACAGGTTGGGGTCATGATGGCAAACAAGTTTTCAAAGATTCAAAGTCATATGTCAATGGACTTTAAAAATATTTGAGGTATTACAAAAACTTTAACATAAATTCTTAGTCGAAAAAGGGGCATAATTCTGTCAAAAAGCTTGATACAGTTACGTCTTCCTGTCTACTGGTTGGGGTCATGATGGTAAACAAGTGTGCTAAGTTTCAAAGCAATATAACAATGCACTTTGAAAATATTTGAGGTATTACAAAAACTTTAACATAAATTCTAAGTCAAAAAAGAGGCATAATTCTGTTTAAATGCTTGATACACTTATCTCCTTCTGTCTACAGGTTGATGTGATGATGGTAAACAAATATGCAAAGTTTCAAAGTCATGTGTCAATGGACTTTGAAAATATTTCAGGTATTACAAAAACTTTAACATAAATTCTAAGTCGAAAAAGGGGCATAATTCTGTCAAAATGCTTGATACAGTTACCTCCTCCTGTCTACAGGTTGGGGTCATGTTGGTGAACAAATGTGCAAAGTTTCAAAGCTATATGTCAATGGACTTTGAAAATATTTGAGGTATCACAAAAACTTTAACATAAATTCTAAGTCGAAAAAGGGGCATAATTCTGTCAAAATACTTGATACAGTTACGTCTTCCTGTCTACAAGTTAGGGTCATGATGGCAAACAAGTGTGCAAAGTTTCAAAGCCATATGTCAATGTTTTTTAAAAATATTTGAAGTATTACAAAAACTTTAACATAAATTCTAAATCGAAAAAGGGGCATAATTCTGTCAAAATGTTTGATACAGTTATCTCCTCCTGTTTACAGGTTTGGGTCATGATGGTAAACTAGTGTGCTAAGTTTCAAAGCCATATATCAATGGACTTTGAAAATATTTGAAGTATTACAAAAAACTTTAACATAAATT